TTCTTTTGTGGCCGCGCTTTTGCTGCCATATGTAAGGAACTGTTGTGTAGTTAAAGCCAGGGGGATTTATATCTATGTTTTATTCCAAGAGTTTCATAGTTTCATCGCTTACGTTTGGGTTTGTGATCCGTTTTGGAATTCATTTTCATACGTGGTGTGAAACTGGAGCCCACGTTCATTCTTTTTTCTGTCAATATTCTGTTTTCCCAGCACCGTTTGTTGAAGAGATTGCTCATTCCTCCATTGAACGGTCTGGGCCCCCTTGTTGAATATCAACTATTCATAAATCTATGGGTTTATTTCTCACTGTAAATTCAAAAACATTGACCTACATGCCTCCCCCTATGCCAGTACCACAGTTTACGATTGCTGTAGTTTTGAAGTAAGTTTTGAAAGTGGCACGTGTGGATCGTACAGCTTTGTTCTTTTCCGGATTGTTTTGGCTGTGTCTGTCCCTTGCATTTCCATATAAATTTAGGATTGGCTTTTACGTCTGCAAAAGATCATTAAGATTTTGATAGGGATTATATTGAATCTATATTATGGCCATCTTAACAATTTTAAATGTTCAATTCACTAAAATTGGATGCCTTTCCACTGACTTAGGTCCTCCTTAATTTTTTTCAGCAATGATTTGGAATGTTCAGTGCACGGGTCATGCACGTCCTTGGCTAAATGTATTCTTATGTATTTAATTCCATTTGATGCTGTTTGAAATAGAATCGTTGTCAATTTCATTTTATATTTTTCATTGATACTATACAGACATACAGCTGATTTTTGTGCATTGATCTCAGACCCAGCTACTTTATTGAATTCACTTATTAACTCTGTTAGTGTTTTGTGTGTTCTTTTGGATTTTTTTTATATGTAAGATTATGTCATCTGAGAATAGAGATAGTTTTATTTCTTCCTTTCCAATTTAGATGCCTTTTATTTCTTCTTACATCACTGCTCTGGCTATGAATTCTGTTACGATCTTGAATAGAAGCAGTGAAAGCAAGCATTCTGGTCTTGTTCCTGATGTTAGGTGGAAAGATTTCAGTCTTCCACCATTGAGTCTGATATTAGTTATGGGTATTTCATAAATACCCTTTATTATGTTTGGTCATTTCCCTTCTATTCCTAGTTTGCTGAGTGTCGTTTGTCAGAAAATGTTGGAGGGGCGCCTGGGTGGCTCAGTTGGTTAAGCGCCTGACTTCGGCTCAGGTCACGATCTCACGGTTCATGAGTTCGAGCCCCACGTTGGGCTCTGTGCTGACAACCTGGAGCCTGCTTCAGATTCTGTGTCTCTATCTCTCTCTGCCACTCCCTCGCTCATGTGCACGCACTCTCTCTCTCTCAAAAATAAATAAAAATTAAAAAAAATGTAATGTTTATAATGTGCTGCTGGATTCAGTTTGCTAAAATTATTTGAGGATTTCTGCATATAAATTGTTAATGTATACTGGTGTGTGATTTTTTTCTTGTGGTGTATATGTCTGGCTTTGGTATCAAGGTAATGCGTAACTTATAGCATGAGTTAGGATGTTTTAAAAGAGCTTGGAAAAGATTGGCATTAATCCTTCTTTAAACATTTAGTAGAATTCACCAGTAAAGCCACGTAGCACAGTTCCTGGCACATAATAAATGGAATCTAGGATTTGTGTAGTCATTAGCCATTTGTTGATTTAATACCTTGTGTCCCTAAGGTTTACAATCAAGACACAAGGATTGAGTAAAAAATGCAGATATATTTATCAAAAATAATTCTATGATTCTGGGGACAATGTTATAAATTTATTAATATTTTATTTTTATCCCACAGGAAGGAAAAATTGTCACAAGGCAAAATAATTTTCTTACATGCCCCATAATAGTATAACTATGATGTGTGATTATATAACAGACTTACATTGATTCCTGTTTTAGTGTATTCAAGCAGAAACAAATCCCAGGTGTTTTGCAAGAGATAATTTTCAACTCTCTTTACACTGTATGCCATGGTTTAAATCTAGGCGTTTTGAATAGGCATTCCTATCATATTTCTCAAACTGTGTTCCTTTTACTTTAAATATGCCCGGTACTGTCTTCTGGAAGCTACACATGTCAAGGTCCTAAACACCACATGTTGGATGTTAATATGTATCTCATGAATTCAGACACAAGAAACAATTAATTAAAGCCTCACAGGTCACGCGCGCACACACACACACACACACACACACACACACACACACACATACACGCAGCACACATTCCTGGAAGATTCTTCTGAGGCCCATGTGGCCAAGTCCTGACTCCCAGCACTCTCTCACTGCTGCCTCTGCCCTCAACTTTAATGAGCCTTTCATAGGACCCTGAAAATAGAAGACTACTTCACCTGCCCAGAGTTAATGTCCCTTGTTCCATTCTTCCTCCTGGTGTTTTCTGCTTTCATGAATTCCATTTTAACATGTGTCTAGCCAGGATAGCTTTGAGTGTTGGATGCTGTTGAGAAATGCACAAAGCAAAATTAGAAGGAAGATGTGATTGGGAGGAATTGCTTTTTACTCTGACTCCACTTTCCATGTACCTAAGCTACTCCCTCCCTACAGGTGTTCTTTGGCAATGTGGATTCATCTGGGATAAAACACAATATTTTTAACCCTCCGATTATTGCTCGGTACATCCGTTTGCACCCAACGCATTACAGCATCCGCAGCACTCTCCGCATGGAGTTGATGGGCTGTGATTTAAACAGTGAGTGCCAAGTTATCCTGTATCCCTCCCTCTCCCAACCATGGGTAGGATGACTAACTGTCATAGTGTTCTCAAGAGCAGGGGGGTTTCCCAGATCAGAAACTATCAACGCTAAACCAGCCGAGTCCTGAGCAAACCCAGGGCTTGGGCATGCTAACGGGGGGCGGGGGGGGGAGCGACTCCCCAGGGGCAGCTACCCCCCAAGGTGTGCTTAACAAGGCAAATCAAAGTCAAACAGAACTGAGAAGAGCTGACCAGAAAACTAGGGGCATGTTAACAGCAACAGAATCTGTGCAAAGGTTTATGCCCAGGAAATGACATCATGGTGACAATAGCCCTAGAGGATCACTGGGCGCAGGCCGGTAGAACCGAGGCTACATCTTTTCCTTGTGATTACATTCCCCTGTAATTTCTTCGAGGCTGCAGCATGCCACTGGGAATGGAGAGTAAAGCAATATCAGACGCACAGGTCACCGCCTCGTCCTACTTAAACAGCATGTTTGGCACTTGGTCCCCTTCACAAGCCCGGCTGCACCTCCAGGGGAGGACGAATGCCTGGAGGCCTCAGGTAAGAGGCAGGTCTGCCATGTAACCAAAGCGCAGGAGGGGGTACTGGTGGGGAAAGAGTAGGGAAAGTCCTTGACTGTTTCTTTAAGGCATTTCTGTCACCTGGTTGTTCCCAAAAGGGAAGGAAAGTCAAGGATGGTTGCCTCTGGGGAAAACTCCCCCAGTTACTTTGCAGATGTGCCGTGTGATTTCACACAGCGTTCATTGGGGGAAATGATCCCTAATCAAACCTCCTAGAAGCAGAATCTCTATGAGCATTACTGGGCTGGTGTCTGTGAAAGAACTGTAGTAAGCCGAAGTACAGTTTTATGGAGAAGTATCAACAATTGGCCTTCTCTGCAGAACCACTGAATTTGGGATTTTCAGTCACTGACTAGTTTTAGGAGGATGAATGCAATGAATGGTCTCTGCTCCTTGCAGGGGCTTACTTTAAACAAAACAGGTGGTATAGCACATTGCCAAACTGGTAATACTCTAGTCCATCTCTATATGGCTCACGTATTCATTTAGCAAACATTTACTGGGCACCTATCAAGTGGGAGACCCTGAGGATACAAAGCGGAATCACGAAAACTTTCGGCCCTCAAGTTGCTTCGAGCCTAATAAGGGAGACTGATGGAGAGACTATTTAAATGCAGAGCGATATCTGCTATGACATGGTGAAGAGGGAGGGCTGTGGGGATTTCTGGGAACAAATGGTACCCAAAACGATACTACTCTACCTACCTTCCTCAGGCAAATAATCCAAAAGAGTGGCTGCAAGTGGACTTCCAGAAAACAATGAAAGTCACAGGAATAGCCACCCAGGGGGTGAAATCACTCCTTACCAGCATGTATGTGAAGGAGTTCCTCGTTTCCAGTAGTCAAGATGGCCATAACTGGGCTCTGTTTCTTCACAATGGCAAAGTCAAGGTATGCTGGTCTCCTGGGAAAGGCACAAAACTCTTCCTAGAGCTTGACATTTATAAAGATAACAAGGTGGATACATGATCAGACTTTCAAGATAGACTTTACTGAGTATCTGTGGTAATAGGACACGATGGAAGACATTTCGGGAGGACACAGTGACTCCAAGGAAGGATGTACAATCCCAGGAAAGGGCAGACTAGAGCCAAAAGTTGATTACCCTCCTGGATGTTGATGTCATTCAGGAAGATGGCAGGAATCAGAGGGGTGAAGAAGAATGCGAGTTATTTGCCAAATGTTTAATGATGTCTGTATCCTCACCCATAACATAAACGTCAATTCCCAAGCCTCATTGACCTTTAACGTACATGACCCAGACAATCTTCCTTCTTTTTTAAGTTTATTTCTTTCTTTAAGTTTATTTATATTTCGGGATTGAGAGGGAGAGACAGCAAGGGAATGAACAGGAAGGTGCAGAGAGGGAGAGAGAGAATCCCAAGCAGGCTCCGCACTGTCAGCACAGAGCCTGATGCGGGGCTCGATCTAACAAACCCTGAAATCATACCCTGAGCCAGAATCAAGAGTCAGACATTTAACTGACTGAGCCACCCAGGTGCCCCCAATCTTCCTTCTTGATGTGGGTTTCCTGCATAAGTCAACAAATTTTGCTAATTAGAGAACATGACAAAAGTCTTGCTATCCCATGACTAATGAGAGAATGACTAGTTCATCTGTATCATCTCTTTTCTTTTTCATCAAGAATTAATCATGGTGCGGCCCTTACCAGTCTCTCTCATATAGCCTTTTGCCACTTGCTCCTTTGCTCTCTAAGGTCCATCCATACTAAGAAACTCTCAGGTCTCTTAAAACAGCATGTTCTTTCTCATACTAGGACTTTATACATACTGTCTATTCTACCTAGAACATTTTTCCTAGGCACTTCCCATTGCCCTTTTTACTTGGCTCGGTCTTTAAGTCTCAGACAAACATCATCTCCTCCTCCAGGGAGAACTCCCTGATCCCCCGGTGCTGGATTAGACTTCTGCTGCTGGCAGTTTAGTAGACCAGAGTATAGATAATACATATTTCAGGACATTTTAAAAGGGTATATCTCTGAAAGCTGCTACCATATGGATGAACCTTGAACGCATTAGGTTAAATGAAACAGACTAGACAGAAGGAAAATGTATGATTCCATGTATATGAGTGTATTAGTCAGTCAGGGTTCTGCAGAGAAACAGAGCCAGTAGAATGTGCGTGTGTATAAGGAGATTATGGTAAAGAATTGGCTTACGGTTATGAAGGCTGACAAGTCCCAAGATCTGCAGGGTGAGCAGTGAGCTGGGGACCCAGGAGAGCTGACGGTGTAAATCCCAGGCTGGAGGCCAACAGGCTCAAGATTTAGGAAGGACTGATATTTCAGTTTGAGGCCCAAAGCTGGAAAAGCGAATGTCCCAGTTCAAAGGCAGTCAGGCAGGAAGAATTCTCTCTTATTCTGAAGAAGGTCAGCGTTTTTGTTCTATTCAGGCTTGTAACTGATTGGAAGGCAATCTGCTTTACCCATTCTATCATTTGAATGTTAATCTCATCCCAAAACATCCTCACAGACACTCCCAGCATAGTGTTGGACCAACAATCCGGGCACCTCATGAACCAGTCAAGTTGGCACATAAAATTAACAATTATAATGAGGTACCTAGAATCGCAAGTTCATAGAGAGGAGAATGGCACATTACTGGTTAGTGGGTACAGAGTTTCAGTTCTGCAAGATAAAGAATTCTGGATATGGGCGGTGGTGATACTTGGACAATATTGTGAATGGATGTAACGCTGCTGAATTGTACACTTAAAAACGGTCAAAATGGTAAATGGTGTGTTATGTACATATCACCACGATAAAAAGGCTGTATCGTGTATAGTCCATACTTCGTACCTCATTGTTACACTCAGAGAAGATAGGGGACTCTCCAGCCTCCTCGCCAACATGAGCAAAACAAAACAAAACAAAAAACCCATGAGCTTTTACTTGACAATAATGAGCTTAAATCAGAACAGAGAGGTAAAATACGAGAAAATATACAATGGAGGACCTTTCCTACAGGAAAATGCTTATATGAGTGTTAGTAGGAGACTAAGCTTTGAGCGTAATGCAAGGAGAACCAAATGCATTCAGGCACATCCTGACATCTGGGAGAACCTTTCTCGAGCCCACTCTAGAAGACAGCACTCCCAGTTTAGGTCCCCAAGATCCCCACAAATCGCAGTGATAAGATCATAAACATTAGCAAACATGCAAGAGAACAAACCAACTTGACAACACGTGAGCAGAGGGGAGCCAGACCATACAGCATGTGACTCTTGATCTCAGGGTCATGAGTTCAAGCCTTGCTTGGGTGTGGAGCCTACTTTAAAAATAAATGACAAACTACCCCAAATTACTAGGCAGCTCTGGGGAAACAACACTACTTTTAGAAATGAAAAACATGGGGCGCCTGGGTGGCGCCGTCGGTTAAGCGTCCGACTTCAGCCAGGTCACGATCTCGCGGTCCGTGAGTTCGAGCCCCGCGTCGGGCTCTGGGCTGATGGCTCAGAGCCTGGAGCCTGCTTCCGATTCTGTGTCTCCCTCTCTCTCTGACCCCCCCCCCCATTCATGCTCTGTCTCTCTCTGTCCCAAAAATAAAGAAACGTTGGGGAAAAAAATTTAAAAAAAAAAGAAAGAAAAACAGAATTATCGAAGTTTGAAAATCAAAGAAAGACTTAGTAGGACATTAGACACAGCCAGAGAGACTTTATTCAATTGAAAGATACAGCTGAAGAAATTACCCAGGATGGCGCACAGAAGGCAAAGCATGCGGAAAGGAAATTAAGAGACAGAGGGTACCCATCAAAAGCCTAACATACATATGATCAGGATCCCAGGACGAAAGGGAAAATATAGTGGACAAATAGCAAAATGTTAACTTTAAAAGGAAAACTGCCAGTTATTTTACCTGCAAAATGGCTTTATTTGGGAACAGCAGAAAGCTGTTGTTCTGCAGAACAAAAGCAAAGCACACCGAGTCCTGCAGGAAAGGGAGGAGCTGGGAGCGGCTGCCAGAAACAAACAGTCCATTGGAATAAACTGGAAGTGGGAAGTGCAGTGGTTTCTCATTGGCTGAGCTGTGACTTCGGGGCTGGGCTGCAGTGGGGATGGGGCCGAGGAGGGGTGGACCTTCCTTCCTCTTGCTCCGGTAGGAAAGTAGTAAAGAAAGCGGCATCCTCGTGAGAGCCCCACCGTCTTCCTGTCGGATCTGGAATTGAGGACATGGATCTGGAATAGAGGACACGTGGTAGGCTGTGAGCCTCCCCTGCTGCCCTCGCCCCTGACTCCATTCTAAAAGAGCTTCCTTTTATAATTTTCACAAAACAAACAAGGACAACCACTTTTGCCACTTCTATTCAACGTTTTACTGGAAGGTATAGCCAGAGAAATGAGGCAACAAAAAGAAATAAAAGGCATCTAAACTGGAAAGGAAGAACTAAATCTCTCTTCACCAATGATCTGAATATATATATATATATTTTTTAACTGCATAAAACCACCCATAACTCACCTGCAGAGTAGCTAGAAAACAAAGAATTCTGTTTCTATTCACAAGTAAGTAGACAGTAAACATGCAAAGCTATAGTTGAGCTAGCATCAGGGCTCACGCTGGAGAGTCTAGGGGAGACTGTGCAAGAACCAGAAAAGGTCAGTGGTAGAAAACAAAGAAAATCACTTCTTTTTTTTAAGTTTATTTATTTTGAGAGAGAGAGAGAGCACACAAGTGGGGAGGGGTAGAGAAGGAAAGACAGAATCCCAAGCAGGCTCTGCGCCATCAGCACAGAGCCCGATGTGGGGCTTGAACTCATGAACCGTGAGATCATGACCTGAACTGAAGTCAGACGCTTAACCAACTGAGCCACCCAGGAGCCCCGACGATATACTATTTAATATTGAGAAGGAACTTTAATGAATGCTGAAACCATTGGCTGAAAGCTTGATGGGAAATAGAGTATCTACATGGTTTCAAAGTATCATCCCACAGATTGTTTGTTAGGAAAGGGAAACGATCACCTTGGTAACAGAGAGATCTGGTGGACATCACCCTGACCAAGTGATCAAACTTTTCATCGTCAATTTATGGGACAAATTAGCATTATGTGTCCCCTGATGGATGTAGTGGAAAGGACACATCATGCACTCAGTTTTCTCACTAAAAGTGTTTAACCAACATGTCATAATGAGAAAACAGTCACATAATTTAGAATGTGGAACAATCCACAATACGCTTTTCAAAATGTCAGTGTCAGGACACTTGGGTAGCTCAGTTGGTGAAGCATCCAACTGTTGATTTCGGCTCAGGTCTCCATCTCACAGTTGTGGGATCAAGCCCCTCACTGGGCTCTGCATTAAAGGTGTGGAGCCTGCTTGGAAATCTCTCTCTCTCTCTCTCTCTCTCTCTCTCTCTCTCTCTCTCCCTCTCCTTCTCTCCCTCTCTCTCTCTCTCTCTCTTGCTCTCTGTCTCAAAAATAAATAAATAAACTTATTTTTAAAATGTTGATGTTGGGGCGCCTGGGTGGCTCAGTCGGTTAAGCGTCCGACTTCAGCTCAGGTCGTGATCTCGCGGTCTGTGAGTTCAAGCCCCGCGTCGGGCTCTGGGCTGATGGCTCGGAGCCTGGAGCCTGCTTCCAATTCTGTGTCTCCCTCTCTCTCTGCCCCTCCCCCGTTCATGTTCTATCTCTCTCTGTCTCAAAAATAAATAAATGTTAAAAAAAATTTAAATGTCGATGTTATGAAGGACAAAAAAGATCAGAGACTAGGAGTCTGTTCTCAAAGGAGATTTGAAGGGATAGAATAAATAAATGCAAAGTGTGATTTTTATTAGATTCTGGGTTGGAAAAACTGTATAAAGGATATCATATGATAACTGGACATTTTAAAATATTAGGCTATATTATATCAGTATTACATTCGGTGGATAGGATAATATTATTCTGTGGTTGTAAACAACCTTAGTTTTAAGTTTGACATGCTGAAATATTTGGGAGTAAAATGCCATGATGTTTACGACTTCCTTTCAAGTAGTTCAGAAAATTGTGTGTGGTGGTGGTGGTGGTGGTGGTGGTGTGTGTGTGTGTGTGTGTGTAGAGAAATAGATACAGTAAAATCGCATGATGTTAACAACCGGTGGATCTAGGTGGAGGACTTAAGTGTCCATCACATTATTCTTTCAATTTCTTGGGGTTGCTACCATTTCACAATAAAAACTTGAGGGGACGGGGCGCCTGGGTGGCGCAGTCGGTTAAGCGTCCGACTTCAGCCAGGTCACGATCTCGCGCTCCGTGAGTTTGAGCCCCGCGTCGGGCTCTGGGCTGATGGCTCAGAGCCTGGAGCCTGTTTCCGATTCTGTGTCTCCCTCTCTCTCTGCCCCTCCCCCGTTCATGCTCTGTCTCTCTCTGTCCCAAAAATAAATAAATGTTGAAAAAAAAATTAAAAAAAAAAAAACTTGAGGGGAGGTAACAAGGAGTAAGTGTAACATAAGATGTACAAGCCTCCAAATAGAACATAAACATCTGCTGAAGAATCCCAGAAGAGGGACTTTAATGTTTCTGAAAAGTTTCATCAAACACACCAGCTCTAACAGATGTTTGTAGGATATCTGCCACGTGTGTACGTTATGCTACGTGTCCTGTGTGTGGAAGATACACGAGTGAGCAGGGTCTCTGACTCTCGTGGGGCTGGCTGGCATTTGGCGGTGAAAACCGAGGAAAACGGTGGGTAAGCCCGCAGCCAGACACACGGGGACACTGAGCGCTCTGGACGAAGCCAACCAGCTGAGACTCAGGGCTCCGGCAGTGGCTACCTGTATCGGGCGTTTCCTGTGCCCTCACCTGGCAGCAGCCTGACTCCCGCCCCCACAGGGTTCAACACGCAGATGCTGTGTGTCACCTCAGACAGAACGTTCCATTTCACTGAGGTTTTGGCGAGTGGGTGGGAACGTTCCATATCCAAGGCATAGCTGGAGCAAAGGCCTCCACAGCAGGCATGCCAGGTGCTCTTAATTCTAGAAGTCCGACCCACTTTCCCAGGCCCAGATGCGTGGGATGCAGTCATCCATTCGCCTCCCGGGGAGCGTGCGGGTTGTGCCGGGCGTTGCCAGAGGTGCGGGCCACTCTGGGGATGAGGGAGGGATTCCGACTGACACAGTAGGAGGCCAGAGGACTCGATGGCGCAGGCGAGAAGAGAAGCAGCGGAAGGGGGGTTAGCAGGTAGTGTTTTCCCGTCAGACAACTAACAAATGCCATCTTTCTTCTTTCAGGTTTTTCAGGGAAATCGAGACTCCTTCACACCCGTGGTGAACTCTCTAGACCCCCCACTACTGACTCGCTACCTTAGAATTCACCCCCAGAGCTGGGCACACCAGATCGCCCTGAGGCTGGAGGTTCTGGGCTGTGAGGCCCAGCAGGTATACTGAGGGTACACCTCCAGGCCCTGCCTCCAGGCCCACACCCTCCCCAAATTGCCTTCTGCCTCCCAGCCTGGCCTCTGGGTCATTCCCTGCCCTGCCCTGCCTGTGGGCCGAGACTTTTCTATGTGTTTAAACCACACAGCCCTAGGGGACACCGCCCCGAAGTGCATCCCGCATTTCCTGGGACGATTGCATTCAA